GGGGGGGGGGAGAGAGAGGAAGATGAATCTCACCCTTTCAGAATTACACAAGCCATCCAAACGTTGCACGCCAAGCCAAAAAAAAAAAGAGAGAGAGGGAAGAAGAGAGAGAGAAGAAATCAAGCCGGCAGGCTACAACCAGAAAATCGCACGCCCGGTGCACCTCTTCTTAAACGCAAGCCACGCGGGCAACAAGTCCATCTCCAGAGATCTTAAGTTCTGTGCCCACTATTTGCAATATCATTAAGAGGTTTCCAGCCCATGGCGCTGCACCTAACCTCCCTGGACGTGAACGGAAGAGCAAAATTACTGAAAAATTACAACGAAGGGTTGTTCGAATGGTGGATACAGAACCCAGATTAACTTCCCAAGGGGGGGGGGGAAGCTCGGAGTCTCGCCTTACCTTGGAAGAGGAACAGCGATGCCATCCCAGCCAAAATCGCCCAAAAGAGAGGAGTGTGCATTTTTGCCAGAAGTCCAGCCATGCTTGAGGTTGGGTTTTTATAGATCGACCCTGCTTTGGCTTGCTTCCCTTTTTCTCTCTCCCCCAGCAGATCTTTTTCGGGTTTTTTTTTCCCCCCTCCCTGTCCGATCGCGTGGATCTGAAGCTGGCAGAGAGTTTAGCCTGACTGTGTGTGTCTATATATATTTATATATTAAATATTGTTCCTCCCTTTTTTTCCTCCTGAAAGACGAGGAAGAGGGGAAAATCCAGTGCTCTCGATGGAAGGACTGAAGCCCAAAGCTGGGAGGGGGGAAGAGACTCACACGCGCCCGAGAGCGAGCAAGGCTGAGAGCGCGACTTCTTCTCGGTAATTATCTCCACTCACGGTCTGGCATCGAGACACGCTCCAAGATCTCGGGCGCGGACAAGCCCGCCTCCGCGGCCTGCTCATTGGTTCGTGGCCAAGGATTGACACAGAGAGGCGGCACGCAACCTCGCACTCCTCGCCTGGAGAGAGTTGTTGCGGGGAATGTTCGAGGGAGCCCGAGCGGGGCGCGCGCGCGGGTGTGGATGCTTAATCCGCATCAACTGCAATTCTGAGGGAGGACTCCAAGATCCGGATTAACGGCTCCAGAACCCCTTCCACCGTTCCTTGGCTTGCCTTTCCGCCTCTCCTCCCTCTTTCTTTTAAAGAATATACACTGTCTTTTCCAGCTGGACGTTTTATGAGGCACGCGAGTGTTTTTTATTGGGGGTCGTCTCTGTGCCTTTGATCCGCATCACCTGTTCTCAGGCTGACTTCGGATTCAGCGCTTCCCTTTCCCTGAGGATACCCCCCTCTCGTCCTTCTTCCCCCAGGATGTGCTCCGCTATTCAGACGTTATCTTTTAAGGGCTGCAACCTCACGTGTACACCACACAGTACCCGGGTGCCGTGGTTGCTTTCCGTGTCTTCTCCTTTAGGGCTTCGCGCAAATAAATAAATAAATAAACAAACTAGTGTCCTTTGTAAGCCGCCTTGCTCCCCGTGAGGGAGTTCCTAAATCTCGGCACGCACACCTACAGACGTCAGGTGTGAATGGGAGTCGCACGGGCCGGTTTCCTGAGCTGTGGAAAGGGGCCCATTTTCCCTCCAAACGGAATTGGCCGAGGGAGCAAAAGCCGTCTGCCCGGTTCTGAGTAACGTGTGGAACACTCACCCTCTCCGAGTTGGGGGGTCGAGGGGGGGGAAGAAGGTTTTACCTCCGCCCCGAGGAAACCGAGGCAGACCCAGACCGCCGCCTGGCCCGCCAGATATCTCCCTCCTTGGGAAGAGCAGTAACCTGCCAGGTGCCTCCCAAACAGGTGCAACTTTTTCCCTCCCGTCCCCCCCTAATTGGCCTGAGGGAAAGCTCCACCTGTGGACCTTGGTCCCTTGGAGGTGAGGGAGGGGGGGACAAATCCAAACGGGAGGAGGCGCGGGGAGAGGGGAGCTCCTGGCTGGCAACAATGGCTTTGGGACCATTTTTTTCCACAAATAATAAGGTGCCTCCCAAATAATACTAGTTGGGCTTCAAGGTACCATGAGAAGCTTCCGTTGGCTTTTGCCGGCTGGTAGAGGCGGGAAATTTCAGCAGGTGTTCTCTCTGGATGACTAGAAACACCTGCTGAAGTGCCCGCCTCCACACAACTAGCCTCTCTCCTCAATGCAGCCCCCCTCCCGGCTGTACAATTAATATGCATGGAGTGGGGGAGGGGGAATGAGTGAATAGCTGCCTGATGAATGTATGTATTTCAGGCATGGTGACACTCATTTGCAAAGCTGAACATAGTTGGCATAAAAATAAAATAATATTACAAAAGCATAGTGGTTTTTTTAAAAAAAATTACTATTCCTACATACGAAACCTACAGAACAACCATAATAAGACCGAACAAAACTAACATAAATAATGGAAGCAAGGAAACTAAACATTCATGCTACATATATGGATTCGAGATTTTGCCATAGTCTGGTCATCTAATGTCATCAAAGGGTTTCTTGTGAGCACTAATTCGCCATAACTCTTTCTTCCCTTGTTTGTTTCTGGGCCCAGTTGTATATCAGCTTCCAGCTTTCCTTTACAAAGTGTCTCAGCTGATCCCGTACTGCCTCTGAAAGCATGTCCAGTTCTGCAATGTCCAGTAGCTTCTTCAAAGCTCCTCCATCGGTCTGGTCATCTAATGTCATCAAAGGGTTTCTTGTGAGCACTAATTCGCCATAACTCTTTCTTCCCTTGTTTGTTTCTGGGCCCAGTTGTATATCAGCTTCCAGCTTTCCTTTACAAAGTGTCTCAGCTGATCCCGTACTGCCTCTGAAAGCATGTCCAGTTCTGCAATGTCCAGTAGCTTCTTCAAAGCTCCTCCATCGTTGGTACTTCAGTTCTGCAATGTCCAGTAGCTTCTTCAATAGCTCCTCCATCGTTGGTACTTTTGCATTCTTCCATTTTTGGGCTCAGAGTAAACTGGCTGCTGTAATAAAGCATAGCGTTTTTTAAGGCCACAAATTTATTCAGCAAAATTCCATTAAAATTCTATTAAGATGTCACAGTTTTATCAAGTTTTTACCATTGTCATTAAGAAGAGATATGGGGGTCCTGCCCTGAAGGAACTCATTGTTAAAGAGCAGAGGTGGGCCCCTTGCAGCCCTCCAGATGTTCTCTGACTGCAGGTCCCACAGTCTCTCACAACTGGCAGTGCTGGATGGGGTTACTGGAAGTTGTAGTCCACTAATTTTAGAGGGCCCCGGACATTGCTGGTCCCATTACAGATTCCAGCTGCTATAATTTTCACTCCATCATTACAAGTGGAGGGGGTGTAGAATAGAGAACATGATGGATTTATGGAATTCACTTCCTAAAAGCATTCAGGAAATAGATATATGGTCCCTTTAAAGTTCAAAATGACAAGGGAAGGCTCTCCATAATATTTTGGTTTACAATTCCAACAACACCAATCTGAACAAGCCCATGTTGAAGGACTATGGCGCAAAGCATCTGGAAAACCAAAGATGGACCACCTCTGAGCTATGGGGAGGTGTGCAGTTTTGAACAGGACTTTAGCACTGCTGTTGTTGTTTTGATGATGACGATGATGAGATGTACTGTCCAGTTGGAACCAACTTATACTGTCCCTAATGGGGTTTTCAAGGTAGGTGAGATATTTAAAGAGTGGTTTTACCAGTTCTACATCCCCAGTAGGATTTCATAGATGAGTGTGGATTTGAACCCAGGCCCCCTGAGTCCTTATCCATCACTACACCACACTGGGTATCCCGCTGATATTAGCAGGGGTGAGGGAGGTTTAATTCTATCCCATCATGACATTTTCCTAGCTGGAATTATTCCGTCTCCACCTCTGCTATTTTTGCCTAGTTTGTCATATATCACCTGGTGAAGGTGGTGTTTAAATCTCAGAAACAGGAAAGGTATTCAACTGGCAGTGCCTTCCTTATCATCACTGTTCTGTTTTAGGAGAAGATACCTGGTGGATTTCTACCTGACATGCAGCCATTACAGATTCAGAACCCAATAGAGAATAATCCTAATTCTACCCTAGAACTCTGAAACTAGAACTCTAAACTCTGAAGTTTAGGACTCTAAGGCATTTCTTTTAATCATAGGGGTGGGGGAAGAAATGAAAGAGCCCTTGGCTAGTATGTGACCCGCCAGCTGCAGTCCAATGACATACTGGACCATAGCTGTGAGTGACTCCATTTCCTCATCCCTAAACTGAGTCGGTGCCCACTGTGTGAAATATTACAATTGTGGTGCAGGCACCAGGGGACCAGAACAATTTCCTGTTATCTGAAGGTTTCAAACCAGCCAAGTCCTATCAAGTAAACAACACACCTAGGAAAGAGAAAAAAGAAGAAGGAAAAAAAAACAGACAAGTGTATGTAGCATCGGTAAACAACACACCTAGGAAAGAGAAAAAAAGAAGAAGAAGGGAAAAAAAACAGACAAGTGTATGTAGCATCCCCTGTATCAGATGGCAAGAGGATATGTTACCGAAGTAATATGAATGAACGCAGGGCATAAGATAACAAGGGATTGCTTTATTTTATGCCTCTTCGCCTGGATTTCCAGCTCTCCTGCAATACATAAATGACATCCATTTGGAAGCCTAATGAGGTAGTAAGAGGGGCTGCCGTTTCCTCCAGAAATGTAACACTTGAAGATCAAATGCGTCTGATGGCATCCTCGGCCATGGATTCTATGTGGTTCTCTGTAGTTTTCTGGGAAGGCACAGTGATTTCAGACAATCAGAAGGACTGCTGTGTTTTCTTCCCCCCTGCGTTCCTATTTTGGATTGGAGCTGTATGTGTGAAGGCAGCCTCCTGAGGGAACAGGGGAGAAGATTGTGCATCGGTGACAGGCAGGTGGAAAAACATCAGGGAGGGACTATCCAGCACTTGGCACTGGCAGTACAGTACATTGTTAGTGGGCCTGATTCAGCTTAAAACTGTGCGGTTGAGATCCAAAGTAGACAGTAACATACTGCTGTGATAGCTTTGCTTCGATAGGGCTGGGACACTGCTACTCACATTTTTTTTCATGAAACCATGTCAATGAGCAACGTTCTCTTGACATGGTCCCCCTTACACCATGCTTTGCCAAAAGGCAGCCAGGGGGGAGCATATAACCCAATCATTTAATAGCTCCCATTACTCACTACAGTATTGGGAAAGTAACTTGTTACGATACGTATTACATTGCTCATTGCTTCTCCAATACTTTCAGTCCCATTCAATTTTTTCTTAAAAAATGATTGATGAGAGAATAGCAAAAGGCTCACAAAATTCCTGTCAAACTGACTCTTAAAAAGCCTTCAAAAAGTCTTTAAGAATAAAATGTGAAAGTAACTAATCAATGTTACTTATTCCATCAGCTTTGAAATATCTTGCTTTGAAATATCGTTATACCCTTGTTATCCAAAAAAAAAGTAGCCATTCAACAGGTAAACTATATTATGTGTAACATGCCACTTCCAAGATTCATTGATGTCTCTGTCTATGAATATTTGTACACTTCTGGAAAATATTCTGTTCTCTAAAACAGCTTATTTTAAAAAATAGTTCTACAAATGCAAAGCAGGGAACTCTCAAAGCCCTAGATTAGAGTTTCTCTGCTTCAGCTGTACGGCAAATAAAATAAAATAAAATAAGGACGACCACTTTGAAACAAACAAGCAATCAAGATGGCCAGGGTGGCTTTTGACAGCAGTGAACCATGAATTCCTGAGGTTGCCAAACTTCGCAATATCTCAATACTAGGTGATGCTGAATGAAACGAAACTAAATTAGGTGAAATGAAGCAAAGCAGAGCAAAACAGCACTCCCTATGGCTTTCCCGAGTCTGGCCGTACCACATTTAGGCAGTAGCTGGTTTGTGAGTCAGAGTGCTTTGCTGGAGAGCTGGGGTGAGGAGTTTGATTCTACGCTGTGTCTTGTAAGAGAGGATACAGTTCTCATCCAGCTTGTGCCACCTGGATGAGCTACACAGTCCCAGAGAAAGAGTATACCTAGAAAACCCTGAGACTGGTTGAATAAGTAGGGATCAACTTGATAGTGCATAGTTATTTTATTATTGGTTTTTGAAAGAGTTCTCTCCATTCACAGCAAGCATCAGGAGGGTGCAGTGGGTCACTATGCCTTGCCAGCTGGTCATTTCTCTCCCTAAGGATTTGTAGCAGGCCTTGTTCATTCACCCAGTGCTTTTTCTAAGCACGTCATGTTGCCCGGCGTCCTGGAACAGCTCTTTTGGAGCCTTCAGCTTGTGGCTTTGTGGAGCATCAACTTTTCATGTTGAACAGCAGGCGGTGTTCAACAAAATGCCTTGCAATAAATGTCTAATATCTGTTCCACTCGTACAAACCTGTGCGCCTTTGCTGATATGAATACACTGATAGAAAGGCTGCATCAGGGAGATATGCGGACACCAGAGAAAAGGAGTATATGGCAAATATTGTCGCAAATGCCTTGCACTGGTTTGGAGGAGGCATAGCACCGGAATAATATTCCAACATTGCTACACAGCTATGACTTGATGTGGAATTTGGCAACATACGAAAAATAAAGAAAAACTCTTCTTTTTCATAAAAGAAATCCAAGCTTCATGAAACAAGATGAATTTCACTAAAGTAGCATTAACACTTTAGCATTTTAGGAGTAAGGATGAACTCCTTTAACTCCAGGTGGCAGGTGACAGATGAGGACTCAGGAG